GTGCACTTTTCCCTGTTACTTATTTTTGTTTCCTTTCTCATGGGTTGATTGACCGTATGTGCATGGATTTAATTCTGGGCTCTCCAGTCTGTTTCATTGAATAATATGTCTGTGTTTGTGCCAGTACCAGAGAGCTTAGATGATTCCTTTGTAGTATATTTTAATGTCAGGGAATTTCCACATTGCTCTTTTATCTCCAAATTGCTTTGGCTATTTGTGGTCTTTGGGCTTCCATACAAATTTTAGTAATATTTGTTCTATTCAATGAAAAATGTCATGAGTATTTTGATAAGGATTTGTTGAATCTGTGAATTTCTTTTGTTAGGGTGGACATCTTGACAAGAGTAATCCTTCCTACTCATAAACATGGAATGCTTTTCTACTTATTTCTGTTGTCTTCAATTTCCTTATCAAAGTCTTATTCTTTCCAGGGTAAAGATCTTTCACCTTCTTGGTTAAATTTATTCCTGGAATTTACTCTTTTTCATTTAGTTGAAGATTGTGTTGTTTTCTTCAGTTATCTTTCTGATAGTTATTATTAGTGTGTACAAATGTGAAACTTTTTCTGTATATTGATTGTGTACCCTGCAACTTTATTGAATTTATTTATTAGTCCTAAAAGTGTTTTGTTGGTGTCTTCATAATTTTCTACATTGAACATCAGGCCATCTGCAAACAGTGGCAGCTTTATTTCTTTCTCTCCAATTTGGATGTTTTTTATTTCTTTGTTCTGTCTGATTGCTGTGGCTAAAATATTAAATACTATGGTAAGTAGAAGTGAAGAGAGTGGGCATCCTAGTTTTGTTTCTGATCTTAGAGAAAAAGTTTCAGCTTTGAATCATTGAGTATAAGATTAGCTATGGATCTGTCATATATGGCCTTTATTATTTAAGGTATGTTCCCTCTATACCAAGTTTATTGAGAATTTTAACATAAATAGATGCTGAAATTTATCAAATGAATTTTCTCCATCCATTGAGATAATCATGTAACTTTATCCTTCATTCTGTTAATGTGTATCACAGTGATTGATTTGTGGATATTGAACCTACCATGCACACCTGGAAAAATCCTACTTACTCATAATGTGTATGTATTGTTGAATTCAGTTTCCCAATATTTGCTGAGGACTTTTGCATCTCTGAGTTTTGGGAATATTGACCTGTATTTTTCTTTTTTTTAGTATCATCGTCTGGTTTGTGTATCAAAATATTGCTGGCCTTATTGAAAAAGTTTGGGAGTACTCAGTATTCTTCAGTTTTCTGGAAAAATTTGAGCAGGATGGGGACTAACTTTTCCTTAAATATTTGGAGAATTCCGCTGTGAAGCCATAGCATTCTCTACATCAAGAATCAACAAAATATGACCCATGACCAAATCTATTCAGCCGCCTATTCTTGTAAGAAAAGTTTTATTGGAGCACAGCAGCGCTCATTTATTCATGTATTATCAGTGGCTTCTTTCATGCCACAGTGGCAGAGTTCAGTAGTTGCAACAGAGAATGAATGGCCTGCAAAGCCAAAAGTATTTACTATTCTACCCATTATGGAAAAAGATTGTAAACCCCTGTTCTGCATCATTAGTCATCAGGGAAATTCAAATTGCTACCACAGTGAGACCACTATACACCATTATGTTGGCTAAGAGTAATAAAACAACAATATTAAGTGTTGACAAAGAGTTAGAATAAGTAGTTTGATTTAGAATCTATCTAGTGTTCCCTTTAGTGTGAAGGGCTCTCCTTGATCTGATGTTGCTATTACGGGAGGAAAGACAGCCCCATGCAGTGATTCAGCCTGAGGACCAATTCCTGTCTTTGAAGGGACCCTAGGGCAAGTGAGGTCCTTCCATGAATATATCCGAAGCCCTGTTTTCTCCTGGTAGGTCTAGCATCCCAACCAAGGCTTCCAGATCCCCCTGAGACACACCTCAATTAGGGGAAACAAAGATTTCACTGGGGGAAACCTCATCAAGGGCAAACTCTCCTTCTGTCTGGAGAAATCACTGGCCTAAGAAGAACACTCAACCATTCATATCAGTGCTCTGATTGATGCATGGTTAATAAGCATGAAGTTTTAAGAAACCTTACACAATTGTACAGTGTAACTTCTCTATAAGGCCACAAAGGGGCAGTGGTGCTTCAGAAAAGATTAACATTTGTCCCACATCTACATATTCTCCAAGAAGCCACAAATTAGCCTTTAAAAATCTAATGACTTTTTAATCTCCTATTAGCTTCAGGTTTAATCTATCATTATGTATATTTCTATGTGGATAAGTATGTATGTGTGTATGTATGTATGTATGTATGCATGCATGCATGCATATATCCATCTAACTGAGTAGTATGTGTATATTCTAGTCTACTAGTTTCAAACCTATGACTTTGGAAATCAACACTTCTTTGAATAATACAGGTTGTTTTTCAAGATCAGGACCATATTAGCTTCTCGAATAAAAATTTATAATGATTCCACCCAGACACAGCCCAGTCTCCAACCACTGAGTTAATCTGTGCCTAGAATTCCCTCACCCCATTTTTAAAAAGGGAAAACTGCT